GCGTCGAGACCGTGTCCTGATGTGATCTGCACGCGTGAGTCACGTCGGCGTCAAACAAGCGACGTGCGACCTGTCAGTGCACTAACACCGATCGCAGCTGCCTCTGCGCGTCCTGTGGATGTACCTTTGTCGCGCGCCGGAGACGACTCGCCGCCGCTGAGATCGGAGATCAAGCTCTGACAGGTCGCACGTCGCTCCTTTGACGCCGACGTGACTCACCCGTGCAGATCACATCAGGACACGGTCTCGACGCGCTCGGTACGACGCCTGCGACCCGTCTCGGGTCAGGTGGCACGACGCTCATCGCGCCTGCCAGCGATGCCGTGCAGGTTGCCACGACGAGGTCGAGCACGCTTCTATACGCTCGCCGAGCCTTCCTTTCCATCCCATTAGGCAGCCTGGGAACGGTGGCGGTCAGACGCAAAGACTACGAGGGGTGGTGGAACCACATGTCACGGCTACTGCCGGCTCGACCCCACGATAGCCTCCGAAGGCTGACTTTGAGGCACCATCATCGGACGATGTCGACGAGTTGGGTCGCTCTCGCGGTAGCCAGATGACCTCCCATGCTAGTACCATCGGCTAGGGCCGCAGGAAGCGCGGGGGAGGGCGCTGGGAGCAACACGGAGCTCCGTTGGACGTTTTCAAGATTAGCGTGTCAGAGTGAAATGGAACTAGCCGTACAGTTCAAGTTTAAGGGTACTTTCACACACAACTTTCTCTGCTCCCCAGCTCTCGCGATCAATCCGGACCGGCAGACATCCACTGCTTGCGCTGGCATCCATGTACCCCATATGAGAATGAGTCTGCCTCTCCCCCCCCCCGCCCCGCCCCTCTCCCCGTGCGCGGCGCGCTCGGGCATTCGCGCACCGCACACGCCCGTCCTGCGCCCTGGAGGGCCGCCGCCCCCCTCTCCTCTCGCCACCGCCGCGCGCCTCAGAAGGGCATCGGCGCGGGTGGCACGTACCGAGCCGCGAAGTCGGAGTCCGAGCCGGCGCCGCCCTGGCAGCTGCCGCCGCCGACACCGTCGTGCCTCCACGTGGCGCGCTCCTATAGCAGACCGCACAGACGAGCTCACCCTCCCCGTGCCACACGCGCCGGCGCGCTACAGCGACGTCTGCCGTCTGCGCGAGCACACCCGCCACCCGCGCCTTTGATGCGCTCCGCGGCACCAGCGACGCCGCGGCGGGCGGAGCGGCGGCGCCGCCGCCCGCCGCCACCGGCGCTGCGGCGGTGGCCTGCGCAGCCCCGGTCTGCGGCTCGGGCGGCGGCGCAGCGTCGGCGGCCGGCGCCTCTGCTGGCGCGCAGAGGGGCACTTCGTCGTGCGCGATCGCCTATGGGGCGCGGTCGGAGACGGCTGAAAAAGGGACGGGTCCCAAGCTTGCGGAGGGCCGGTCGCCTCGCGCGCCTCGCAGACGTCGATCATCACCTGGTCCGAGAGCTGGTCCATGAAGATGTCGCCGTTGTCGAGCGCGCAGTGCTCGATGAAGAGCCCGATCTCTTGGATCCCGAAGAGGCACCTTGTGAAGAATGCACCCGAGATCACCCGAGATCACCCGAGATCACCCGAGATCACCCGAGATCACCCGAGATTGCCGAAGAGGCACCACGTGACAAAGGCGGTGACGGGCACCACGAGCAGCCCCATCGAGCCGACCAGCGAGACGGGCAGCGTCAAGCACCACAGCGTGAGGAAGCGGGACGTGTGGCGCGCGTAGTTGAGCGGCACCGGCGTCTGCAGCAGCCGCTCGCATGCGCCGACGTACGAGCCGAGCTGGTTCACCAGCGAGAGCCCCATCAGCCGCTCGCGCGAGGTGAAGGTGCCGTCGGACGCATCTGAGACGCCCGAGATCTCGGCGGCGAGCCGCTTGCACAAGTAGAGCGGGCGCGACGAGGAGGAACGCATCGCGTCGCACAGCGGTGCCGGCAGCGGCGCGAGCGGCGCGAGCAGGCCTAAAAGAGAGAGGTTCGAATCAGAGACTGCCGGGCGACGACAAGGGAAGCGAGAGGGGCTCTCGAAGGCTTGCGGTACGCCTCCGCCATGAGCGGCGTCTCGCCCCACGGGCTCGCCCACGATCTCGCGTCATCTCGGCTCAATCTCGGCTCAATCTCGGCTCAATCTCGGCTCAATCTCGGACGCCTTCAGCGGCGGGCCGCGCCTCGCCACACAAGTGTCGCCGGAGCATCACGGGGAAGGCGGTGAGCAGCTGGGCGAGCCTGAGGGGTGGGGGGGCGCCGCAGTCACACTGCCGCCACGCGAGTCTTGTGAGAGAGGGGGCAAGAGACGCCGAGCAGGGTGGCGGTGGTGGCGCAGCCAGGCCGGGGGTTGGACGGCGTCAGCACTGCGCGATGGGCGGGGCGGTTGCGGCGCACCGGTCGACGCGGCACGGCTGGAGCTGGTCGCGGAAGCAGTAGGCGTACCGCGCCAGCTCGCGGCACCTGCCACACAGTGTACCGCCCTGACGAGCTGCCGCTCACAGACCAAACAGGCTCGCCCGGCAGCGGGCACCGGTTGAGCAGGTTCTCCCAGATGCGACGCGCCTCCCAGAAGCGGTTGTACGCGCTGTTTGTCCGAAAGACGAGGAGCAGAGAGAGGGCGCCGCCGAGAAGCGAGTGCATCTGGAAGAGGGCCTTCGACGCCGACTTCCCCGGCACCCCGTCTGCAACCGAGTCAAAGAGCGCGACACCGAGAGACGCAGTCGTCGTGAGCAGCAGCGGCTGCAGAATGCCGCTCAGAACCTGTCCGGTTCGGGCGCGGGCGTGTCGGGAGGCTCTCGTGGACACGCGTGGGATCGCGGTGTGCGTCCACCAGGCGTGCGCTGGGAGGGTAGAGAGTCCCTCGGGTGACGGGCAGGTAGCGCTGGGACTCTACGGCGCACCTCAGAGTGGCGCAGCGTCTTAAGAGACGACAGCCAGATGGACCTGGTTGAATGAAACTGCGCCGTCCATGGGCGAGAGCTCTGGCGGTACCGGTCGGCGTTCGCGTGGCTCCACAAGCGGCCGACAAAGCTCTCGCCAAATGCGCGCCTCCGCAGCAGGACCATGGCCGGGCTGGGTCGTGGCCGTGCCAGCGCGAGCGGCCCGGGTGAGTGGTGGCGCAGGACGTGGGCGGCTGGCGCGTAGGCCAGCGCGTGAGCGGTGAGGAGTGCACAGAATGAGAGCACCATTCGAAGAACAGGGGGGCACTCGGCAGAGTCCGCGGCGTGCGAGCGACTGTCCTTTTTGATTTGCATCCCAGCTGCATCAGGCGGAATGTCCGGGAGCCGGCTGGTCTTTCTTTTTTGTATCCCCGGCCAATCTTTCGTACACGGGGCACAGGGCCTGCGCTCGGCGGCGCACCCACTCCCTGTTGTCACTGCTGACGTGCTGAGGCCCTCCACATGCACATGAAAAACAAACTGGTATTGCACATGCACATGCACATGCACAAGAAAGCTCATGCACATGTGCTCTCTCTCTCATGTGCATGTGCATGTCAAATGCACAACAACAACACAACAACAACAACAACATGCAAACAAACACAACAACTATTGCTAAAAATCTCTCTCTCAACATGCACATGCTCATGCACATGCATGCACATGTTCATTTCATGTTCATGTCATGTCATGTTCATGTGCATGTCGAGGGGCCTACAAAACAAAAACAAACCTGTCTAGGAGTCCCGAGATTCCGGAAACCAAAAAGGAAACCAGAGGGTCCCCAGCACTTTGAGTTTCCGGAAGTTTCCAGGGAAACCAGAGGGTGTTTGGTGCTCCAACTGTTTCTCTCAAGGGCTCAGCAACCTTAGGTTAGGGGCCGCCCTTGGTTGGCCGTCTAGGGTCTGTCGTCTACGACTGTTTGCGTGCCGCTCGAGGGGGGCACGAATAGGATTGTAGGGCGGAGTTTGAGGCACTTGGAGCACTTACTTGGAGTGCAGTCATTAACCTCACATCCAAATTGAGATTTGCCACTTATGAGATCTATCTCTCTCACATCCTTGGCCGCTTTGTGTGTCTCGAGACCTCGAGAGAAGGCCGCCCGAGGGCCCAAGTCAAGAATTGACTTTTTTGGGCGGGCAACTCACATCCAGGGCCGGGGAGCTAAGAAGCACACCCAGCGGGCCGGATGATCGATATCGGGTTGCGGGCAAGAGAGCCCTAGCCCTGGGGGGTGCGCGTTCGCAGGGAAAGGGCCGTAAACACGGGTCACCGAGGGTTAGTCGGCGCTTTGGGTTCCCCTAGCTTCGGAGCGCCCTCTCTCAACGGAGGTAAACCCACCAGACGCGCACACGACGGTACGACGGTACTCCTCACTCGACGTCGACGCTCAGGGACGACGAGGTGCCAGCGCTGCCGTGGAGGGGCCCGGGCAGCTCCAGCGAGGAGAAGCACGCCTCAACGCGAGTGCATGGAGCCTTTTCGGGCACAGGGCCTGCTCGCGCCATATGTTCGACTTTGGTGCGTGTCAAACGCACTTCGCATCGCGTCTGGCACTTCCGCCGCCACGGCGCTTGGCGACGCGCTGGCTGGGCAGCCGACTGCGGTGCTGCTCGGGCTCCTAACGCTCCTCGGCCTGTTTCCCACCTCCCCGCCCCTCCTCGCGACCACGCTGCTCGCTCGCGCTGTGTCCAACTTAGCCAAGGGTGCAGCGCTGGGGAACTCGCAGACGTGGGGCACTCTCACTGACCTCAGCCTCCTCGGCGCGCTATGTGAGACGCTGGCTCTCAGAGGACGCTGGCTGCCGCCGCTCTCTGCTGAGGAGGAGGCGGCCATCGTCAGGTCCTGCGCACCCGCGGTCCGTGTGCAGCTCGCAACTGTTTACGCCGCTTCCGCCCTCTGGAAGCTGAATTCGTCGTTTGCCGAGCCGCGCCGCTCCTGTGCAGCCGTGTTTGCATTACAGATGCTCGAGCACCTACCACCCGCCGTCACAGCGACGCCACTGCCCGCGCTGATGGCCGCCGCTGCACCCGCCCTTGTGCTGCTCGTGGAGACCGCCATCCCGGCGCTGCTGCTGGCTCCCTGCTGCTGGGCTGGCGTGTCGAGCGCGCTCAGCTTCCACCTCGCCATCGCCGCCTGTCCGCCGCCGAACAACATCGCGAGCTTTGGAGCCACAACCGTGCCCCGCCTCTTCTTTTGGATCCCGGAGGAGGCCGCCGCCGCCCTGAGGGAAGCGGCTGGGCCGCGTCCTCTCGCCGCCGTCGCCATGGCCGCCGCAGCTGCCATCGCCACGACACTGGCTCCGCTGCACTCCCGCGCGCGCTCCACCATCCAGGGCAGCGGCCACGACTGGCATCTCTGCTTCCTGGTCTGGCTGGCGGTGCCGCTCGCCGCCGCAGCGCTAGTCTCCGCGCGCTCGGCGCGCGCCTGCAGTGGTCAGCCGCCGGCGCCGGCCGACCCTCCTGCAGCAGTCAGCCGGGGAGGGCGGTGGTGGAGGCGGGCCCTGGTGGGCGGCACGGGCGCCTACGCCTTTCTGCTTCCGGCGCTGGGCCTGCAGGAGCGGGGCGGCTGCCTGATGTTTTCGCAGCTGCGGCTGCACGGCGGATCGAATCACCTGCTCGGCGCTCCGACTGGGCTGCTGCAGCGCGTGCTGATCGACGCGCCGCCGGAGAACGCCTTTGCCGGCGGCGTCGTCCGCGTGGAGAGCACGTCGCTCCACTGGGTGCACAACACTTTTGCAGAGCATTTCGCCCCGCACCAGCTGGCGCTGCTCCGCGCCGGCGGCTTCGACGGCGGCTTCTTCCCAACCTCCAAGGCGACGAAGCGAGAGCTCGCGTCGCCCGAGGGGCCACTCCCGCGCGCGGTCCGCTTCACCCTGCACAACCTCGGGTTCCGCCGGCTGCTAGCCGACGCCGAGGCCCGCAATGACACCTTCTCTCTCACCTACACGCGGCTCAGCGGGGCCGAGGGCGACGAAAGGTGGAGGCGGGCGGGCCGGGGTGAAAGACACACCTTGCGGGCGAGGCGCGGCCGGCTCCGCTGCCGCACCTGCGACGCGCGCGAATTCGCTCTGCTCGCCCCGCCGCCCCAGCGCCACTGGTCGTCGCTTGCTGCCTTCTGTCTCGCCCCCCAGCCAATCCCGATTGTCGAGGGCGACGAGCTCGACGAGCTTCACTGCGTGAGCTTTGGGTGATAGAGCGGAGAAGAAAAATCGCGTGATACCTAATACGGCTTTATGTACTACCGCGTACCGGAGGTGTAAAGCCAAAAGCGTACCGTAAATTACTCTAGGCGTTAAAGGGTATAAAGCCGTCATAGTTTTGTCGAGCTCTGTCTGCGCGCGATAGGAAAACACGCAAGTATTTGTCTCATGTCTGCGCGCGCGAAAGCCGAAAACAATCTCTTGAGCACAGGCACATCTCCGGAGGGGAGATACCAGATGAGAATCCCTGGGGGAAAGAGTGCTGCACGCGCACACACGGACAGCCGGGCGCTCAACCCACCGCCCTGGTCTGCAGCCCGTGCCCAAACGGAAAGAGGGGCCCCTTTAGCCGCGCCGCGGCCGCAGCCTGGTCCATCGCGTGCGGCCACGAGAAGGAGAGCCGCCCCGTGGCTGGCGCCCTGCCGAAGAGCACGTCTGCCACCCCGTCGCCCTCGGTGCCGGGCAGCCACGCGACGAGAACGGCGGCGACGCGGGAGAGGAGCGGCGGCGGAAGGAGGAGCGGCCGGCCCGTCACGAGCAGCAGCACCACGGCCCACCCGGCGTCAGCGAGGGCGACGGCGGCGCGAACGTCTGCGGGCGGCAGCCGAAGCTCCTCGACGTCGCCAAACCCCTCTGCGTACGGCGCCTCGCCCGTCACCACCACCGCCACAGGCCGTGAGGCGGCGCCGGCCGAGGGCGCCTGAGGGAAGGATAGGGGAGCGTGGGCCAGCAGCCAGGCCAACCCGTCCACATCCTGAGGCAGGCAGGTGGTCAGCCGCAGTCGAGGTGCAGGGCCCGGTGCGCACGTCGCAGCGTGGGAGTGCCCGCCGCGCGCGCGTGAGCGTGTGCGCGTGCGTGAGCGTGAGCGTGTGCGCGTGCGTACGCTTGTGTGTGCGTGCGTGTCCGTGTGCGTGCGTGTCCGTGTGCGGTCCGTCCGTCCGTTGCCTGCCGTCCAGCGGCGCGGCCACTCACGAGCCTGGCACCCGGCTGGACGGCGCGGATGGCGTCGGCGATGGTGGTGCCCGTGGTGAAGGCGTTGCCCTCGCAGCCCTGCCACTCGAGCGACCAGCCACCGCACTGGCGGCCGAGGCTGTCGGCGGCGATGCCTGTGACCAGCAGCTCCGCGGCGGGCCGGCCTCCCTCTCCGGCCGGCAGCGGGAGGAGCCCGCCCTCGTTGACCAGCAGCACGCAAGACTTGGCCACCGCGCGCCTCGCAGCCGCGCGGTGCGCCTCGCAGCCGACGCAAGCCGCATCGCCCATCGGAGGCACGGCCGCGTCAAACAGCGGACAGCGCGAGGCGGCGGCGGCAGCGTCGCCTCCGGCTGGAGTCGAGGCGGCGGCGCGGCGCAGCAGGCCGCAGGCGACCTTGACACGCAGCACGCGCCTCACCGCGTCGTCCACACGCTCGGCCGGCACGTCGCCCCGCCCCACCGCCGCCTCGAGCTCCTCGAGCTGCCTCCGCCACGTCAGGTCGCCAAAAAGCCTGAGGGACGTGTCGTGGACGTGTCAGGCGGCACGCCCGGTCAGCGGGCGTGGCGGGAGAGCGGCGGTGCACAAAGAGAGAGAGGGAGAGAAGGACATGTCTCGGACGTGTCGCGCGCCCGCCCGCCGTCATGACGACGTCCACGCCCGCGTTGACCACCTTGCAGACAGCGGCGGAGTACGAGCCGCCGCACTGCTGCACGGCGTTGTAGTCCGACACGACGACGCCTGAAGAGGAACGCAGTGAGTGAAGTAGGAGAAAGCTGGGCCGCGCGGACCGCTCCTCCGACCCGACGACGCCTCGGAAGCCGAGCTCCTCCTTGAGAAGGCCTAATCTCGGGGCATCTCGGGTGATCTCGCGCAATCTCGCGTGGCCGAGCTCCTCCTTGAGAAGGCCGGTGACGAGTGCGCGGCTCGCGTGGCACTTGACGCCGTTGAGCGACGAGTACGACACCATCACCGTCAGCACCTGGGAAGGGCCGCGATCGACGGCTCAGGGAGGGGCTCCCCGGGGAGGAGGGGGCCGCCAGCGCCGTCCGCACCCCCTCGGCCAGCGCCGGCAGGTACGGAGCGACGTGTGTGGCGCGCAGCTCCGCGTCGTCGCAGTCGGCGTTGCCCTGGTCCAGGCCAAACGACTTGACCGCCTACAGGAAAGTCCAGGAAAGGTCCAGGAAAGGTCCAGGAAAGGTCCAGGCCAAACGAGTTGACCGCCTTGCCGATCCCTCCCATGTCGAACTTGCCCGTGCCCAGCGCGGTGCCGCCGTCGGCGACCCAGTGCTTTGCGCAGGCCGCCATCGGCAGGCCGCACCGCTGGATGCCGCGCACCTCCGCCGCGCTGAGCCGGCCGCACAGTGCGGGGTCTTCGGAGAAGCTCTCATAGGTCCTGCCCCAGCGCAAGTCGAGAGCGACCGCGGCGCACGGCGAGAAGATCCAGTTGATGCCGCACGCGGCCGACTCGCGCGCCGCGAGCGCGCCGAGCTCCTCCACCAAGCCCTCGTCCCGCATGCAGCCCTGCCCGATGTGGTGCGGGAACAGGGTCGCGTCGCGAAGGTTCGCCTGCCTGAGCAGAGGACGGAGGGTGTCACGCACATCCTAGTGCACGCACCGCGTCTACAGCCGAGGCGTGGCATCTAGGCAGCACCGCGTCTACAGCCGAGGCGTGGCACATCCTAGGACACGCACCGCGTCTACAGCCGAGGCGTGGCACATCCTAGGACACGCACCGCGTCTACAGCCGAGGCGTGGCATCTAGGCATCTAGGCATCTAGGCAGGCTTGCCCATGCACGGAGTCGTTGCAGACGAGCAGCGGCAAGCCCGACGACGCGCGCAGCGCCGCGCGCTGCATGGCAGCGGCCTGAGCCTGCCACGCCAAGGGCTCATTTGGCGTCGGGCATGCGCCCCCGCCTCCGAGGACGGAGCCGAGGCAATGCCTGCCCACGGAGCGGTCGCACTGCTCGTCGGTCAGAGGCGCGTTGAGCGCGCGCTTCACCGCCGACCCGGCCCACGCGGGGAGGACGGCGGCGCCTGCCTCGGACAGCTTCGGCGCCGACCGGAACGTGCGCCAGTCGGGCTGCATCATCTGGCCCAGCTTCTCGCGCAGGGTGAGCCGCGCGAGAATCTCCTCGATGAGGGCCTCGTCGTCGGCGGAGGTCAGCGGCGACGCCATATATATGTGTTTATGCGGGTCCGTGGATCGATCACACGGTCTCTCTCTCAACTGTATGTTCGCAGGCACAAAGAAGAAAAGAAGGCCCAAAGCCTGCTCGTGCAGGTGTGGACCTTGTCCTCCTCCCATCTGTTTTATTTCTTTATTTCAGTGTGAATGTGAAGTATTCTTGATGCGCCGGCTAACGGTCGCCGCCCCCACCCCCTTCCGACCGCGAGTTTTCACGGAGGAGGGTCGAAGCGCAACGCCGTTAATGAGAGTCCTGCGCCGTTAATGAGAGTCGAAACGTCCTGCCCGCCGCGCCGACTAGACGGGCAGAATGATGTCGCTCCTCGCGAGGGCCCTGGTCTCGGGCTCGCTGCCGCCAATCTACGTGCAGCGCAATGGCGGACATTCGGGCAGCAACTGGGCCTCTGAGCTTCTTGTCGGTGTGTGTGCAGTCCTGCAGTGGTGAGGTCTTCGACTTTTCGCGTGACCCCGTCGCTCTCCAGAAATCGCATGGCTATCGTAAACCGGAAAAGGAGTGGTTCCCCTCGGGCCCCTCCAACCTCCAAGTGAGAAGTGTGCCCCCTGCCCCCCTCCAAGTGTCCCCCTCTCGATAAGTGTTTCCCCCCCACATTTTCCGGTTTTCCGTGACCGTGATCCGTGTGTGCACTCCCTGCAGTCCGTGTGGGACTTTTTCGTGACCCCGTCGATCTCCAGAAAATCGCACAGGCACAATGCAACCACATATCTCCAGTGCATCTGCCAGATCGAGGGCGTGTCCGTGTGGTGTGTGTATAAATAGTGCGTCTGGTGTGACTGGCGTATGGCTTCTGTGCCAAGTCTGACGCCCACAAAATAATGCCGCGGTCGCGAAAGCCCACTCGCCAACGCACGGCCAGGATTTGATTGCTGCGGCAGCTGTGTAGTCCCCGCTGAGAGTTGGAGAGACCCGAGATAAATACCAGACGAAGTTGCAACCATGAGGAGAGCAATGCACGCGAGAACTCGACGCTGTTCAGCTACGCGGCCTCGGCCTCGACGGCCTCGTCGTCCGGCGCCTCCGCCGACCCGCCCTCCTGCGCCTCGTCCGTCTGCTCAGCCGCGGCCTCCGTCCCCGTCGCGTCCTCCGCGGCGTCGGCAGCCTTCTCAGAGGCCTCCTTGGAGGAATCCGTGGCCGGCTCATCCCTGGCCGACTCTGTCTTGGCTGAATCGCCCTGCTCCGCGAGCCAAGCCGCGTAAGCTTCGGGATTCAGCTTGTGCGGGTTGCCTGCTGTCGCCGTGCAACCGTACAACGACAGCTCGCAGAGGTAGTCGCGCAAATAGATGGAGGCGCCATCGCGCGGCACGCAGCCCATGTGGCGAAGGCTGAAGGCGCACGCGGCCTCGGTGGCCTCGGTGGCTGCGAGAGGCACTGCCACCAGCAAGGCGGCCATGTGTGTGATAGAAGTGAGGTTTGTGCAGGCTTCGTCACACAAGAAAGTCGCAATCCCCCAGGGCAGACACCTTGTTTACTTTACGGCCCTCTCCCTACGAACGCGCACCCCCGGGGCTAGGGCTCTCTTGCCCGCAACCCGATACCGATCATCAGGCGGCCCCGGGTGCGCTTCTTAGCTCCCCGGCCCTGGATGTGAGGTTAAGAGAGAGATTTTTAGAAGCCAACAAGAAATGTCTTCTCTTGAGGTTAATGAGTGCACTCCAAGTGCTCCAAGGAACGGAAAGATCGTCGTGCTTTGGGAATGACAAGAGCTACGTACACTGAGACAAAAGAAAGGAAGAAAGAAAACAGACACCCAAGGGAGGGATGGGAGGACGGCACGCCGCCACCACACAGGGATTTTTAAGGAGAGCGAGAGGAGTGTGGTGCTAGCCGTCGCCCACCCTCGGGCGTCTACCACTTCCTATCTCTCTCCGCAGTTTCTCACCAATTCTCGCAGCGACCTTCATGCCACCTCGCGTTCTTCCCACTCTCGTCGTTCTCTCTCCTGCTGTCTCTTCCCCTGACTCATCGCGCTCTCCTCGGCCTCGTTCTGAGACGCCGCTGCCGTCTGCCTTGCTCTCGCTGCTTCTCTCGCCTTTCTGCGTAACTCCGCTCTCCTCTCCGCGTATTTTGGTCCCTCGAGTTTATCGAGCATTCCTCGCGCAAGGACCACATTTCTGACTCCCACTGCGAGCATTCCCGCCCTGTCATGTCGTTGCTCAGGTCCACTCTCGTTTCGAGCACTTGTACCTCAACTGTCGCTGAGGGAGGGTGTAGAGGATGTAGAGTGTAGAGCGCTGTAGAGCTGTAGAGATGTAGAGCGCTCTGGAGCGCTGTAGAGCTGTAGAGCTCTACATCGGCTGCGTGACGAACTGCCTCCGTTGTAGAGCGATGTAGAGCGCGATTTTGTTGTAGAGTTTGTTGTAGAGGCTCTACAGCCAAACCGCCGGGAAGGCAGTGACTCAAAGAGGTCGAGTCGCACTAATGGGGTGTCTCCGAGCTTACTGGAGCTCTGATGGACGGCCCTGACTATCCCTGACACACAGAGAGTCACTCTGACGGCACACAACACCCTATAACTGCGTCATGACCAGCCTGCCATGCGTCGCCGGTGCCGCATTCGTCGCTGTGCTTCTTTAGCAGGCGGTGGACTGTCGGCTGCGAGGACGGTCGCATTTGCGCGAGGCGAGGCGAGCATTTAGACGCGTTGCATGCGCCATGCCTCGCGCCAGCGCGTGCGGGAGCTCCTGGCTGAGCGTTGAGTCCAGGCGAGTTGCGCTGGCCACTATCGCTACACCTAGCCGAGCTGACGCGCCGAGGCGCCGGCCAGTCGCAGCCGCGAGGCATGCCACAGCAGCAGAGGCACCTGCCACCCATTGGGCGGGCAGACAGAAGGCCAGGGCAGCACTGGCAAGTGCAACGCGCCTCATGTCGGAGAGCGACCGTGCCTCGTTCGCCGCTTATGATGTAGAGTTTGTTGTAGAGATTTCACGTTGTAGAGCGCCTCTACATCGCTCTACAACGGAGGCAGTTCGTCACGCGGTGGATGTAGAGCTCTAGAGCTCTACATTGCTCTACAGCGCTCCAGAGCGCTCTACATCTCTACAGCTCTACAGCGCTCTACACTCTACATCCTCTACACCCTCCCTCAGAACTGTCGGTGTTGGCACTGGGGTTCCCTTCGGGTATATCGTGACAGCCGACGGCGGGATTTCCACTGGTGTTTCGTCCTCCTCGGGGTCGTCTTCCCCGGCTTCCTTGCGACACTGAGACAGAGAAAACGAGATATACCGAAAAGCATCTTGCCGTCCGGCTCGTCGTTTGCCTCCTGCTCCAGAGAGAGATTTTTATTAACCAACAAGAAATCACGACTCTCACAGTGATTTGGGCTCGGCAGCGTGTTAGCTCTCAGCCGAAGCAGTGCGCGTCGACCCTCGGAGGTGCTCACCTTCCGGATCTGAGCAATGAGGCTCGGCCGTTCGCCCGGCGGTGTATCGACCATCAGCGACATCGTGCCCTCTCGATCTGTTTCTGTACCGTCTTCTTCTTCTTATGGGCAAGGGGATCGTCGCTGCGGCTTGCGTTCTCGCCGGCATCACTCAGCCACGAGAAGCATATAGCTGACCACTTCTCCTCAGCGTTCCAGCCGCCCTTGCGCTTCTGAGACAGCAGGGGAGCGGCTCGACGGAAGAGGTCAAAAACAAATAGAGGTCGAGCTCGGAATCCGGAGTGACAGCCGTGCCCATCACGGCGAGCGAGCAGGAGCAGCATTGGCCTGCCCGTCGCAAGTTTGGTGGCCACACTTTTCTGAGGACCCCTGCTTGGGAGGTTAGGTTAGGTAGGAAGGTGAAGAAGCGTTGATTGACACAAAATAAAAGAAAGGCGCGAAAAACAGCCGAGAGGATCTTCTTGCCTGTGCTTCTCAACTGGAATCTTTGGGAAAGACAAAATAAAAGAAAAACGTGAAGAAAAACAAGCCGCCATCATCCTGACCACTCTCTCTGCATGCACGTAGGTAGGTAGGTAGAAAGGTGAAGAACAGCCAGGCTCGGACTGGACACCAACGCGGTATGGGTGGACGCTGGACAGATGATGACGACACGCACGAGCGACACACAGACACAATGCACGGTTACCGCATCCATACGTGAAAAAAAAAGCCAAGAGAGGGGCGGGAGAAGCCAAATCGACTTCGCCCTAACGCATCTTGCTGTTGCTTCTCACTTGGAATGATACCGCCGAGTGCCGTCGTGGTGCTGCTCTTCCTTTCCCCTTCTGCCGCGCTCTACCCGCCAGCGCGGGCACCGTCCTCCACCGCCCAGCTCCCTGCAGGGTCAAAAACAAACCAGCCCTTCTCCCTCACCACCGAGGCCAGCGCGGTCTGCATCACCGAGCGGTGCCGAAAGGGGAGCAGACTGGCGGTCTCCCTCTCCGACTTTCTCAAGACGCAGTCCCCTTCATCGCTCGCAAAGGGCCTGCAGAAGCTCAACCCGTCCATCCAGGCGGCCGCCGGGGAGGAAAAGGAAGTGCTGCTGGTCGAGTTCGAGCCGTGCATTTTCCTGGGACCGCGGGCGTTGAACCTGTGGGCCAAGCCCAAGATGGTTCTCTGGCTGCGGCGAAAGGGGTCCTCCCTCGTCTGCGAGGGGCACGTGCTCGGCGCGGCGGCGGCGGACAACCACCCCGTGCTCGTGTCGGCGCTGGACATGAAGGCGAGGCTCACCGCTTCAGAGGCGCCTCCGACCAGAACCTCAAAAGCAGCCGCGGACACGCCTCTAGCACTGTAGCACCTCTCCACACTTGCTCCAGGCGCCTCTCCACCACCTCGAGGGCGACTCGGTCCCCTGCCTGCAGCTCCTCTCCTCGCTCCACATCGAGGCCGACTTCACCGGCGCGTCGGGCTGGCGGCGCTGGCTGCCGCACTCGCTGCTGCTCAAGCTCGCTTCGCGCCGGCTCGCCGTCGAGTTCCGGGCTCTGCAGCAGCAGGTCGCCTCGTGCCTGGTCGCCGAGTACCAGGCGGCGCGACGCCACAGCAGTCCCG